TTGAACACAAAAGAAGATCATTTGAAGAACGTTGGTAACTAAACAGTTGATGGTAGCCATTGACTTCAATAGTATTTTTTTCCCATAATATGGAAGTCAATGGCTACCGTCAACGTGATGGTAAGAAAATAAATGATGACGGAACATTTTTGGTTGAAAGATCCCTTTAAGTCAACATGAAATCAAAATTTATTTTATTTATCTATAATGCCAAATTTACAATGCAAAGGTGACATAGATGCGCTTCTGAAGTGGCATTTACACAAACTCATTAATGCTGTGCAGAGGTGGCATAAATGCATTTCCACAGCAGTTACAACTGTATTATTTGATGCAATGGGCTGAGGTGGATCCGTACAGGCATAATTTAGTCTGGCTTTTATGCAGTATTACATCTTCACACATAATTCTGAGCAGGCACAGAGCAGCCTTAACTCTGCTGTGTAAAGATGCCTTTGTATATGATTTATCTGTACACATTATTCCAAATTTGAAAAAAAAAATGGTACCATAAAATGCATTAAAAAAATGAAAAATGTTCTTTAAACAAACGATTTTGAAACTTTCTTTTTAAATACCTGATAGAGTGTCTTTGGAAGATCTGTACAATGGAAAAACAACCAAACTACAGCTAAGCAAGAACGTACTCTGCAGTGCCTGCAGTGGGTGAGTGTGTGTGAGCAGGATTTTAGAGAGTTATATAACAATTGATTCCAGCTCCTAAAGATTTTAAGCAAAATATCATTTATATATATATAAACGTAACCTTTTTCCTCAGTCAAGGGGGTAAAACGGGGGCCGTGCAGAAGTGTGCCACGTGTCGGGGCCGCGGCATGCGGATCATGATCAGACAGCTGGCTCCTGGCATGGTACAGCAGATGCAATCCGTGTGCACTGACTGCAATGGAGAGGGTGAGAATTCATTTTCATTCAGTGAACTCGGTTTGTGATGGTCCGAATACAACATTTCGATGCTTGGTTGCATTTTTAGGTGAAGTGATTCACGAGAAGGACCGCTGTAAAGAGTGTGAGGGCCGTAAGGTGTGTAAAGAGGTGAAGGTCTTGGAGGTGCACGTGGATAAAGGAATGAAACACGGACAGAAGATCACATTCAGCGGAGAGGCGGACCAGTCGCCCAACACAGAGCCTGGAGACATTATACTGGTGCTGCAGGAGAAAGATCATGAGGTAACACACACACACACACAATGAGCAGTGTAGAGTCAATAGTAGGACTCTAACAAACAACTATTTTGACTATCTGTTAATTTATTGGTCATTTTTCCCAATGTATTTCCATATATAATATGCACACTGAAATCTATAAATGAATTTTATAGTAATCTGTGCAAAAATGGTCTAAAATATAAAGGTAAGGATAAAATTGATAAATTTGTATTATTATTATTATTATTATTGATTATAAAGTTATAATTTATATATATATATATATATATATATAGATAAATATTTATTTAT